CAGATTATTGACCTGCATACGACGGCGAAATAGTGTGACACAATGACCAAATGCGAAGGAACAAGAAGGGTCATCCCAAAAGTAAGCGCCTCACAATCGAAATGGACGACCTTGACAAGCTGGAAAGAAAGTGTGGTTTATGCTGTCAGGTCGGACACAATCACAAAAATTGTCTGAATCGGACGTCTGCCTCGACCACATAAAAATTGTAATACATAAAATCTTTCCCTAATTATGTTGTAAACATTAGGGTTTTTCGTTAACAGTATTTGCTACAATAAATATTGCGCGTACAAGAAAAAAAACACGATATTTCGTCTACAAAATTACAACTGTTAAAACAATTTCATCTGACCCATGCATCATCAACATTACGTCGCTGTCTGTTTTGACTTCCTCCAACCATACATTAGGTCTTCCAGTCGCATGTGAGGTTGTTGTTCGTCTTCGCTGGATCCTTCGAATTTTTTCCTCCTCCATAATGTCTCCATCTAACCATCGCATCAACTCCCGCTTCAGACGCTCCATGGAGTGAATGTGCCAGAATTTCATTTTCATCGCAGGTTTCGTGGCAGAGAAGATAACATAACCATCTCTGGTAAAAATCATGGGCGATGTCATGACGCAAATAACAAAGTAAAAAAAAAAAGAAAACAGTGCGAGAAAGTGTGAGAAATGACAGAGAAACGGACGAATTATTTATAAAAACAATATTTTGCCCTAGAAACCAAGTGAGATGGCGCCTCCTCTCACTTTTAAAGTGCATGCGACATCTCACTTGGCTAAAAGAGAGAGGAGGCGCCAAGTGAGATGGCGCCTAGGGCAAAACCCTAGGTGGAGGCGCCAAGTGAGATGGCTCCTCCTTTGGAGAGTCATCTGAAACATGATTATTTGCGAATTTTTTTTTAATACCTAGTTATTCAAAAAAAAATTCTGAAAAAGACTAATGATTTAAGATATTTTAGTAAAAGTGTGTTCTTTAATTTCATTTAATTTATGTAGATGCTCAAAGTTTAATGTTAAAATGCATTACAAAATGCCCAACAAGAGGTCAAATGGCCTATGCATTTCATGATTTACGTGTCACACATTTTATATATTTTTTAGTTTTAAGAACTAACTAAGTGCTTTGTAAATTTGAGATACCAAACGACTTGATCCATGTAATTGTTTGTTATCATTACAGTAACTAATGTAATGGTTGACTGATAATTATAGATTGTATTTGCTGTGGCGGCAAAACGGTTCTTATGCTGTACCTTCCAATTGACCATTAATGTGTCCTATATTTGAGTGGTCAAAACTTGGGCACGAACTTTGCTGGCAAAATGTGTTAAGCATGAAGGAAGTTTCATGCCTATTGACTTGCTCAACTTTAAGATCAATATAGATTCGATGATATTTCAGAAAAAAAATATTGATTCGATGTCAAACAAAAATCTTATGATAATGTCACACGACATGAAAATCTAATAGTTTGACATAACAAAAATGTTTTAAGTCCATATACATAACATGTTATCATGTTCATGTGTTATTGCCTGTTGGTGGAGTTTGATTTTTGCCTTACTACCATTCGTGTGCTTCCTATCCTAGTCCTATTAATTTAGCCAACAAAGTGCAATATTATTATGTAGTACTACTCAATTATTGGGTGGAATATTTCATCGTGGAGTTCCCTTTCAAAAGAAGCATGAGTATTTTGGCTTTGAATTTTCTTTATATGAATGTTGGAGGCTTAAAGCATGGACACATGCAGATTGAAATAATCATTGGTTTGTTGAATAAACTATACAAAAATGGCATACACAATGCCTTGAATGTAGGGGCCTTTAGCTCCTTCATAAGATAGTTCTATTTAAGTAAATTATAAGAAACTATATAATATTCTTGTACTATCCATTGAATGTTTTTTTTTAAAAGGACAATCCAATGAATGTGATCAAGTTAATTAAATAATGTTAAACTTTAGTGAAGGACTTATAATTGAAGACTTGGAAAACATTGAAGTAAAAATGATTATACTATTTTATGAATCCATGTCTTTCCATCCATCAAACTTTTGCTGAATTAATAATAAGAGTAGTATATTTTCTTTACATCCAAATGTTTAAATGGATTCCCTACATGCCTTTTCAATGAAGCTAGTTGCCCTGCACTTTTTTATCCCATTTTCATCCAATATTTTCCTAATATTCTTCATGTCATCCCATCTTTGAGATTCTGAATACATGTTTGACAGAAGCACATAAAGCCCGGAATCGTATCGCCCCAACTCCAACAACTGCTTCATGATTTGCTTACCAATTGCTAGATTCCCATAGGTTCTACAAGCACCAAGTAAAGCACTCCAAACAACAACATCGGGTTTAATAGGCATGTTTTGTATCAACGAAATTGCTTCTCCTAAGAATCCACGTCGCCCTAAAAGATCGACCATGCATGCATAATGTTCAACATCAGGATAAATCCCGAAAGTCGAACTCATCATGTCAAAGTAACGTTTCCCCATGTCCACAAGACCACTGTGACTACAAGCAGAAAGCAACCCGGTAAAGGTAATCTCATCAGGACAAACTCCACTTGCCCACATCTTCTCAAACATCTCAATAGCTTCTTTTCCAAAACCGTGGAGAGCAAGTGCCCTGATAACAACGTTCCACGACACCACATTCTTCTCAGGCATCCCAAAGAAGATGTCCATGGCAGTCTGAAGAGCACCACATTTTGCATACATGTCTATTATAGCGTTGCAAAGCGTCACACTCAGTATAATGTTATTATCATAAATGTAATTGTGGGCTTGTTGTCCCAATGCTAGATCACCCATGTGACTGCAGCATGAAAGAATGGCAACAAGGGTAGCATCATTAGGCAACTCACCTGAACCACACATCCTATAGAAAAGTTCTACGGCTTCACCGTAAAGTCCTTCTTGAACATGACACCAAATTATCGAATTCCAAGAAACCACATTCTTCACAGGCACCTGGTTAAAAAATCTCAAAGCACAATCAATAAGCCCATGATTGGCGTAAGCATTAATCATACATGTCCACGAAACTACATCCTTATCAAGCATTTGATCGAATACGCTTTCAGCATATTTCAAACGCCCACACTTAGCATACATATCCACAAGTGCATTGGTGACAACCAAATCAGTTTTAATTCCAGTAATAACAATATAACAATGCACAAATCTTCCCAAATCCAAATTACCATGTTTTGACGAAACAGAAAGCAAGCCAACCAACGTGAACACGTCAGGCTCCAATCCAACTTGTTGCATCTCTCGAAACAACAAAAAAACTTCTTTGCACCAACCGATTTTAGAATACCCCGCAATCATCGAATTCCACGAAACCAACGTCCTTTCCGAAATATCTTCAAACACTCTCCTAGCACTCGGTATCAAACCACAAGCAACATAAACAGTCAAGATTGAATTTTGAACACAGACATGAGACCCCATTCCAAGCTTAATAGACTGAGCATGAACACAAACACCAACCCAATAACACGATTTAGCAGAACAAGCTTTGAGAACAAAAGGGATAGTGAACTGGTTCGGTAAAACACCAGCACTGACCATTCGCCGGTAGAGCAACAAAGACATAGTTGGGTCATTAGAATTAGAATAACCCTTAATCAAATGGTTAAACATGAATTTATTGGGTTGAGGAATTTGATCGAACAGGTGGTGTGCGTAACGGAGATCTCCGAATTGAACACTGGAGGAGACTAGTTTGCCTAATGTGAGAACTTGGGTGGCGAGGCCATGGAGGATGATTTGTGTGTGTACAAGTTTGAGTTGTTTTAGGGAGAAACATTGGTCTATGAGACAGTGAAGAGTTTGATGAGTTGGGGACTTCAACTCTTGCAAAATGGTTTTGCTGATTTGTGTTTGTGTGTGTATGGAGGCAAGGAAAAACACGCCGGAAACAGCTCTTGCGGGCTTCAGTTTCAGAACGGATGACATCAAAAAACACTTCGATTTTCTTGTGCTATAATAGTATAATTCTATGTTGTTAAGTGTTAACTAAATAATTACTACTAATTACTAGTAGTATATTATAGCATGTTAACGAAATGTTCAAACCCTTGCACACAGATTTAAGACAACTCAATCATACAAAATCAATTTGTAGGATGAAAATTGCATCTGTTTATAAGTATATATTTAGACTATATAATATTCATTTTGGAATGATTATATCCTTTCATTTCATTCATTTAACTTAAATTCCAAAGTTTATACTTCTTCTATTTGTCTATCATTTTCATTTTACATTACAGACCTTTAATTTAAAAACACTTCTTTTTGTTAAATTTATATTTTATGTACTCCGTCTAACTTTTGCTAAAGCAAAAATCTTATGTTTTTAAAAACTCAGTCCTCAATTTTCCATCCTTTAAAATTTATTAAAAAAAGTTAAACTCTAATGAGTAACTAGAGTTATTCATGCAGGAACATGAAGTCATGAAGTCATTCATGTATTGCCATATTATGTTACGGTATTTGACAACAATTTTATGTCACAACAATTTTGTCAAAATGAAAGTTCAATTTTTTATTACAAATAAAAGGCAAGACTTTGTGTGTGAAAGAAAATGATACTTTTAAGAAAGTCATGTACTGCTACATTATTTAAGTTATGTATATTGGTATTGATTCAATAGTATAAACAACAAGTAGGATAAGTCTCGACTTGTTTTACTAGATATATTCAAGAAAAACTCTATTTTATTATGTCGGTTTATACTAGTAACTGTATTAAAATATATAATGTAACAATCATCATTTCATCATAGCACTTGATTGATATTATATTTAGTTTTTATAATGTGAAGAGCTAATACATTTTTTACTATTGTCACCAAAATTCTATTCACAAGAACACCAAAACTAAGTGCCCAAGAGGAAATGACTTTGTCATTTACACCCTTTTCATTAATGTACATGTATGATGTATCAAACAATAAGCAAGATAATATTTTTATAGAGAAGGTAAAATCCAAAAATTGAAAAGACACGAAGCTGATGAAAGAAACCAAGACAAAAATGCCATAGCAGCAGACAATTGATATCTACCACATAACGTTGCAGGGCAACGTGATCCACCAGCTTCATGCAGAAGATCTGTCACACTTGCTGCAGAACATGCTGCGGCTAACGAGATATAGGACATAACCTGGAATAGAGAAATCATATCATTCATAAGTAACTATATGCAACAATAAGGCCTAATTGACTTGGTTTTATTAATCATAAAAGTATAGGTACCATGTCTCCAAAAACGATTATCATTATGAGCCTTCTTTGAATCGGCAAGCATTGTATGAAGACGGAGTAAGCATCTACCAAGAATAATGTTATGCTCCATGGAATTGCCAAACCCATTACTGTTACCAAGAACCTGTTGAATAGCATGTATAAAGAAAAATAAAGTTATTATTCACAAGCCTAATATCATGTCAGAATAAGATTCTTCTAGCTATGCAGAAAAATCTCAAAAACTTGAAATCCATTCATTTGCCATCATACCAACAACTCCACTTTGAGAATGAAGTGAAGAATCTAAATTAAACACGGTAGCACCGTGATTTTGTTGAGACTTGAAAGTGTATCTCTTGCAAAATCACGTGATTTTGTCAAACTTGCCGCAAATCCAAACATGTCAATCTGTATTAGTCATGATTATTGAAAGGCTCTGTTCCGTTTTTTTTAGGCGAGAAATCCAGACGAAGGTGTTTGAATTAACCACTTCATATGTTTACTCAATAAACACTTACAATACGACAGTTTATGTATAAATTGTTTCTTCCATAGAAGAGAAAATGAGAGCAACTACTTGAAAACAACAATAAGGTGAAAAAAAGTCATAAACTATTTTTATAGGTTAACACTCAAATACTTGTACAAAGTTCTTATGTCATAAAACACTCGAGAACACTAGTAGAGTGATAATTAACGGCACTCATTTTATGATTGAATGAAAAAGAAAAAAAAAACTAATTTTATACATGATACACCAAGTGCATACTTAGATGACCGTCTTTAAAGGCGTGCAACTCAAGCTACAACACATCATATGAGATTTGTCGCGGCCATGGTTGGTTAAAGCTTCACTAAGTTACATAAGACAGGGCCTCTAAAGGTGTATATCCCTAGATTGGTTTGATTCATGGTACAACATTAAACTAGCATAATCATGTAGTACTATGCAAAATCAATTCTACTTTTAATCAAATGTATTGAAAAATCATGAAAGATGAAATTGAAATCAATCAATTAATCATCATAGCAAGTAAAACAAATGAAATTCAAGAAATACATAAAAAAGAATAGAATCATACGAGAAAGAAGTGAAGGAGTAGAAACCAACGTCCAAGCACATGAAGCAAAGAGAAGCAGATGAGAAAACGGTTTGACCCAAACGAAGAGACAAGCTAGCGCTGGTGCCAAACGCTCCGGGAACTTCCTCCATCATAGCGTAGTATAGCATACCATAGGATATTCCTTTTTTATCCTTTTTTTTTATATCATGTCAAACATGATCAGTTTGGTTCTAGTAACATACATGGATCAAAATGAAAGTGGCAAAAAGGGTATAAAAAAATGGAATGAATAGAGGATATAAAGAATGGAAAGTGAAAGGTGAATGGGAAAGTGGATGATGGAGACAATGAATGAAATATTGTATTTAATTGTTGCTTTGAGTTAGAAGGACTGTTCTTCTTGCACACAGCATATGTTCCGTCGGTGCCATGCCTCCCTACACGGGCCTTAATCATTTCAACCCGTTGTTCTCTCCCATTACATATTTCACCTAGATTTAAAAAAAAAAAAAAGGTATGAATTTGATCTTAACGGATTCTTAAAACTCTTTTTTAAAGACGGATCATTAATATATCATATGAGTTGAGTTTGTTACAAATATAATATATTCTAGAATTCTTGAGAGAATTAATTAATATATCAGTTAACTGATCTTCAGATTTAATGAAATTTGTGGTTGTTTCTCTTGAAAGTATCTTGGCTCTTACATAATGGCGTGATTGTCTATTTCTATGTGTATGGTCTGCTCATAAAAAATCGGATTGAATGCAATGTGAAGTGTCGTTTGATTGTCGCATATGAGTTTTATGGTATGAAGGTCTACAGCCTAAGCTTCAAGAATAATTTTTTGTAAGTTGTGCAAACTCCTTTGAGGCTGCTGCTATCACATAGTATTCAACTTCAGCACTAGATAGTGCAACTGTATTTAGTCTTTTGCTTCTCCATGAGATCATATTTCTTCTGATAAGAACACAATATCCATAAGTGGGTCATTTATCCAACGGTGATCCAGCTTAGTCGACATATGAATAACAAGTGATTTTAGCATCACCATTATCTTCATATATAATAGTCCTCTTTCTGGTGCATTCTTTATATATCTGAGAATTGAAATAACTGAATTCCAATGACAGACACAAGAAGTATTCATAAATTGGCTCACAATGTTCACTGCAAATATAATATTTGGTCTAATGATTGTATGATAATTGAGTCTATCCATAAGACTTTGATATCTTTACGGGTCTTTTAATGGACCCCCCTGACATGAAAGAAGCTTGACGTTGAGGTTCATATGGGTATCATGAAGGTGAGAAAAACACATGAATGTGGTTAAATTGTGTTAACTTTTTCACTATTTTTCTTTCTCTTATGAAATCTTTTATCAGATTCTGAGCACTAGGAATAAAACAACTCAGAGGTTAATAGAAAAGAAAGAGAGACACAAGCAAATATCTTAGTTTCTCCCACAAAATAAGAGTAGTCTAGTCCTCTTGTACTATAAGAGATTTTCACTATAATCACAATTAATTTCAATTTGATTAAGCAAACAAGCAAGAGACTTCAGATGCTCAAGCATTCAAGCAATAGACTTCAAATGCTCAAGCACACAAGCAAGAGACTTCTACAATCTAACTTAGAAATAAAGACTATTTGAATATTACACTTGATATACAATCAAAGATGCAAACAAAATACAACACAGAAAGACTCTAAGACTTAGGAATTTCTAGAATATACAAGTGTTAAGAAATCCTAAGTTAAGCTTGCGCTATTGTTTTGACAAAGTAACAGCTATTTAGTTGTCAAGGCGCAATGTTGTGTTTTTATTTAAGACTTCGGCTCCTTTATTAGAGGAACCTGAAAGATCCGTTGAAGAACTTGCACAAGAGAGGCTTTGAAGAAGCTCAGAGAAGTTGGATTGTTGCTTCAAATGGTTAATTCCTTGCAAAATACCTTTGAAATTCCTTTGATGCAAAACGAATTATTTGTTCTATCTCTATTTTCTTAGAACATGATACTTCACGTGATCAGAAGAAGACAAATTGCTCTCTGAGTCAGATAGTGACCTATCAGAGTTTCTTGACCCAAGCGCTTAGACTGAATTCAGAGTCTGAGTCTTCAGAGTCTGAATCTTTAAAGGTTTACTTTCTTCAGAGTCTGATCTTCACAAGTTGGCCTCTTTAGAGTTTGAGCCTTTAGAATCTAGATCTTCAGAGGTTGACTTTCTTCAGACTCTGGTCTTCAAAAATTGACCTCTTTAGAGTTTGACTTTCATATTCTAATTCTTCAGATCTAGGTTCTTATAGTTTCTCTTTAATGTTTAATTTCTGATGCCATGACTTAGTTTCTATCACACATTTTAGTTTATGGTCCTGTAAACTTGAACAAACATTAGTATACCTAATTGTTCTTTAAATACTTTGTTATCCTAAAAACTTTAGGGATGTGGTACAAACTAATTTTGTTCCAAGATATCAATATGAAGACAATCAAGCATACTAGTTTCACTTAGGATGTATAATGCATACTTACGTTAGTTGGTTGCAATCCCTGATAAGGACTGGGCTACTTCAATGCCTAAAAAGTATATGATTGGACTCATGTCTTTCATCTAAAAGTTTTTGAAAAAATGAGCTTTGAGTCGTTAGATACCATGTCAGTTGTCTCTGGTGATAATAATGTCATCAACATAGACAACAAGAAAGATACATCGACCGGTGGAGAAATGAAGGAAGAAAATAGAGTGATCTGCTTCACATCTAGTCATATCAAATTGTATCAAGGCAGAGCTGAAGCGACCAAATCAAGCACGCGGGGGTTGTTTTAACCCATAAAGAGTACTACGAAGTTGACAAACAAGTCTAGAATTGTCAAAAACATTAAAACTGGGAGGTTGATCCATATAAACTTCCTCCTCTGACTCTCCGTGTAAAAAAGGAATTTTTAATGTTCAACTGATGAAATAACCAATGACGAATGGTAGTCTTCGAAATAAAGAGGGGGGGCTAAACTGCTCTTGGTCATTGTAATACGGTGAGAGGACTGACTTTTTTAGCGTTTTATCGCAAATTTTGCGGTTAGCAAGAGTCGCCACCGACTTTTCTTTTATCTAACAAGGAAAGGGTGAAAAGAACAAGAAAAACCTGAATAGATTTTGAGTTCGGGGGGTAAATTATGAAAAGGGAAGGTGTTAGCACCCTTTTCATCTGTAGTTTATCTACGGGCTCTTAATTGCTTGATCACTTCAAATATTGCTTTGTATGTGATTGTTTGAAAATATTTTGAAATGCCAATGTAAGGCAGACTTTATAATGATTCTTGTATCAGTCCTCGAGAATGCGTACAAAGTGTTTTGAAAATACTTGTTTGAAAGTGTGATGTGTAAAAATGATTTGTTTTGAAATGTGTCAATGGAAGGCAAGCTTTGCAAAGATTCTCGTATTTGTCCTCGAGAAAATTTGCAAAGAGTTTTGAAAAGGTTTGTTGTTTGATTTTGAAAATATGATGTGAAAAGTTTTATTAAGCAAACAATTTTTAGAGTCTTACCCACTTAATTTATAGTCTTTCCTATTTGCTCCTTTCTTTTAGAGGAAAGAGACTATCTATGCCATTAGTTGGTAAAAAGTCCTCTCCATTGGATGCTAAGGAACAGACGAAGGGTCATCGAATGGTCATTGAAGGCAACATATAGAGATACTTTAGCAATTATATCGGAGTGACTAGATCATTTTTCGTAGGCAACATCGAAGGGTAATCGAGGGACTATGATCTTTATTCGAGAATCTTTTGCTAAAGTATCCCTACTTTCGAGGGACATGACCAATTATCCAAAGGAAACCGAGGGAACTACTCTATATGTGTGAGTGTGCGCAGTGTGTTGATTCAGTTATGTTATCTTGGATTAGGGTTTTTCTACGTTTGATTATTATCTTTCCATACAATCCTATTAACTAACAGTTATATACATACAAGGCATACAAAGTATAAGTGCGAAAAAATAAAATGCGAGAAAGCAAAGGCCTATAGCTATTACATGGCCTCTGGGGAGTTACAATATTTAAAACTTTGCGGGAATTGAATATTAAGCTATTATAAAAAACTCATGCGACCTATACAATCGTTTCTAAGAAGATAAATAGCAAAAGTAAACAAAAATGTTTGCAAGATTATTTTTTAAAGTCTTAACATTTAAATATTAGAAGTTAATTTTGTGTATTTTTTTGGTTTAATTTTAGGTATTAGAAAAAAAATAATAGGTAATTCTTATTTAATTACAAATTAATTATGAAAATAAAATCAAATTTAATCAAATTAAAAAATTTTATTCCAAAAAATAAATTAATCTACTAAAAGCTTAAATATGATTTTTATTATATTTTTATGATTTTTTTATTAAAATAATAATTAAAAGAAATAAAAAGAAATTAATTAAACAAAAGGAAAAAAGAAAAATAGAAAGAAGGTTGAAAAATGGGCAAGCCAAAAAAGGGCTTGCAGGCACTGGGGCTTGAACTCACGCCCTTCCCTTTTCCAGTCTTCATCCTTGCCATCCGAACCAAATTGTTTATCTGTTATAGATTCAATCACCAATCATTAAGTAAATAAATGAAATTAAAAAAAATTCAAAATCAAAACACGTGCGCGAGAGTGGGTCTCTGTTGTTTAAACGAGCGAATCAGGAATGAGTATTTGGCCACGCAAGCCTTTGACTCGAGTCAGACAAGTCAAACCACCGGGCCTGGTGGTTTCCACCATCTTCTTCGGTGAGATAATTTTTGGATCCTGCAAAATACAACAAAATGAAGCAAATGAAGGGCCCTATCCACCTAATTCAGACATTGCGAATTCGATGGTGGTGTCCATTTGTCCTGAAACTGCCTATACACAAAGATACGTGTAAACAAAAGTTTCGTGCCCTATCAATGGCATTTAGCGCATGAGGCGTTCGTTTTCACATGTGATCACCTCAACCTGTTCTAAATTATGTAACAAACATATATGAATGCACAAAAACAATTTATATATTATGAATAAGAAATTTGAGATCGAAGAACATGAGCAAACCAGAGCAACTTGGCTGGTGAGTTCTGGCGCGTTTGAGTGTGAGTTAAGGACTGGAAGGGAACCCTGAGACTTCCCGGAGGTTGATGTGCTGCTTGGTTTCGCTTGAGAAGGGATGGAAATAAGGGTTTATTTCTACCCTAGTTTTAAGAAATTTTGGAGAATATGGATTTATTTTTCGGAGGCAGGCAACGTGTGTCTTTGCATATGAATGTATTGAGTATATATATGGCATCATATCAGGTCAAACAAATGAGGAAGAAACCAAGTGATCAGTGAATTACCAAAACCACATGAAACATGTTTTCAAACTTTCCAATTTGAGAAGATCATGTTCCAATCTTGTCTCCCACGGTTTTGCATATTTTACTTAATTTATTTTGTATTTAATTGAATAAAAAACAAATTAAATGAAATAAAAATAAAAGATAAGGCATGAATAGACTTATGGGTATTTT